GTATTATCTTTTGTATCCCACTACATAGCCCTGTATATAAACACCGTGATGCCATGTACGCAGAATTAATTAGTATTGCTTTACATTGCTCTGTTTGTACACCCTGACGTATTATCTTTTATATCACTTACATGGCCCTGCATATGAACATCGCGATGCCGTGTACGGTGTGTATTACTTACATTGCTCTGTTTGTACACCCTGACGTATTATCTTTTGTATCACTTACACAGCCCTGCATACTGAACATCGCGATGCCGTGTACACGGTGTGTATTACCCACATTGCTCTGTTTGCACCCTGACGTATTATCTTTTTTGTATCATTTACATAGCCCTGTATATAAAACATCGTGATGCCGTGTACAGTGTGTATTACTTTACATTGCTCTGTTTGTACACCCTGACGTATTATCTTTATATCATATATAGCCCTGTCTATAAATATCGTGGTTGCCGTGTACGGTGTGTGATTGCTTACATTTGCTCTGTTTGTACACCCTGGTATTATCTTTTATATCACTTATATGGCCCTGCATATAAACGTATCGTGGTGCCGTTGTGCAGTGTGTATTACTTACATTGCTCTGTTTGTACACTCTGACGTATTATCTTTTTATATCACTTATATATAGCCCTGTATATAAACATCCCTTTATGCCGTGTGCAGTGTGTATTACTTACATTGCCCTGTTTGGCGTACATCCTGATGGCGTGGCCAGTGGGACTATGGACGATCCGGCCTGACTGGATGTCCCAGCTGAAGATCTCTCCTTGCGGGACGTGATGCTTGAGGAGTGTTTTGCCAGGTCATTGGTGTCAGCGAAGGTAGCGTTGAGATCATCTTTAGGGATAGCGTCAAACGCTGGATTAAAGTGGAGCGAGGAGATGGTGAAGGGACCTTTGAAGAAAATAAATTAGCATTGATTAGATTAATGCATTCTACTGTGCCAAGGATGTGCTTCATTATGTATGATTGATTTGGTTATGCATATATACTACCCAGTAACACTTTAGTTCCCTATTACCTAAGTTTTGTGCATCTCTTCAAATGCATAACTTTGAAACATATTTTGCGAGTTCATGTCATACCTTTAGTACATGCAATAAGCACTGTATTTAAAGGCGTCCATTTTATTTATTTATGCATTCCAATCGTTCTCATAAAGTCTTGTCACGACTTCATACACCTGAATACCGTCATGCTTGGTTCTTGGAATGTCTGTCTGGGCCAATTTGATCATGAAGGTAGCCTAGTGACTAAAGTGTTCGCTCGTTACGCCGAAGAAGGCCGCATCGATTCCCCCATGAGTACAATGTGTGAAGCCCAGCATTTCACTCTGATTATGAAGAACAATTTTCTACATTTTACAAGAACATCGAATGTACAACCTGAATGCCAAACATTCCCACGGCACTGTCATACCTGGTCCTTTGAGAGATGGCTTCAAGAGATACAGCTTTAGTTATCAGATCCGCCAGCTGGAAGTGTTCCCGTGTGCCCGCTAAATCATCCACCAAATTTGGCAAACAATGGGCAACACTTGCTACAAAAGCCAAACAACCACCCGCATCATCTTGAAGGAAGGTGCCGAAAAGTTGAAGCAACTTATAAAAGGCAGCCGGCTATGAAATTTCATAAAGCAAAAGCAAGGGGCTTGTACGTTTCCTCCAGATAGAGGAGTTATATAACCTACTTATTACTACGCATGCGTATCTTTGACCACAGTCATTTTGAGTACGAGGTCGCAGACTCGGGTATCGCGTGGGTCCACGCGTTAATCTGCAGCTGACCAAATCTAACCACCAAATGTTGGAGTCTCAGGAATGACTTTCAAATTAGGCATGAGTCCGCACCTTCTTATCATACTGGTATGTGCTTGCAGTTCTACACGTAGATAACTCTATTTTAGAGCACGAAGGCTATTACTAAATAATGCATTCAGACACAGGATGGTCAAGATTAGTTTCAAAATTGCAAGTAATGCAATTTTCCATTTGATTAGTGAGTGAGTGAGTTAGTTTTACGCCGCACTCGGCAATATTCCACTGGTGGTCTGTAAATGGTGAGGTCCATA